TAACTTCAAAACTACACCCACATGTGACAGCTTGTGTTCTTCACATTTGGGTTAAGAAATAGAAGTAGTACTCTTAAGCCTTGTATAAAATAAATTGGGATTCATTTTGCCCAGCACACCTTACAGTTGTGTATATTATTTATAGGTGTAACTGAACTAATTTGTTACACCTAGAAAAACCATGACTAGAAGGGACCACATGAGGCCATTTAGTTAGTCCATCCCTCTGCTCCAAGGCAGGATAATCTGCATTGAAACCATGTGTAATAGGTGTTTATCTAACCTGTATGTAAAAACCAACCCCAGTAATGGAGATTCCACAGGTTTCCTAGATACTCTACTATTCTTAGATTTAGAAAGATTTTCCTAGCGTCTAACCTAGATCAGCAATTCTTTGTCTTTTATTAGCGCACTTAAATTCCTAGGTAGGCATAACACTTTGCATTTGTTGTTATTAAGCTGAACTCTATGTATTCTAGGTAGTTTCTCCAATTTGTTAAAATTGGAGACCATTAGAAAACTGCAAATCATCTTGAATTCTAACCGTGTCTTCCAAAATGATTGCAATCCCTTCCACCTTTTATATTTATTACATTTGCAAAGGACAGAAAACACATTCTCTGTTCCTTTATCCATGTCCTTACTAGAAATTCTCTATAGTGTCGGGCCCATAGCAGACCCCTGAAGAAACCTACACCCTTCCAGTTTGATAGTTGCCCACTGCTGGATGTTCAGCTTGTACCAATAAAGCAGCTTTCTGGCCAGCACTCCTTCTCCCTTTATCATTTAATTTAGTCTTTAGATAGTAGATAGGGGTGTACTGATAAAGATTTTCTTGGTTGATACCAATAGACAATTAACCAGCCATATTAGCTGATACTAATCCAGTAACTGATTTACAGGAATGCAACTGGGCAGCTTGAAGAGCAGCTCCCTGTAGGTAAGTCTGTGGAGGAGAAAGGATGTGGGTGGGGGGAGGAAAAGTGGCATGGGGGGGCCGGGGGTGCGGGCAGATTGAGGTCCCCACAGTGAGGAAGGTAGTGGGGCAGGAGGCACTGCCCAGCCAGGCGGTGAATGGGACCTGGGGCTGGGGCGGGGAGTGAGACAGATCCACATGTGGATAAGCGTCCTGGTGCTTAAAATTGATGGTGAGTGCACCTGAAATAAAGCTCACTGAATGAGCTGTAATTCACATGCCACTGCCACCACTGTTAAGCACAGGAACAGTTTTAACTGGAGCAGAGCCCAGTGGGGCAAGGGTAGATGCAGGCTGCCTGCTGAGGGCTTGGGACTCTGCTCTGCTTTCTTTGCCCTGGGGACCCTGCGCTGGCCACGTGCCCCCTGCCCACCTGGCAACAGGAGGCACAACTTGCTGTCCTCACTGTTGCTGGGTGGGCAGGGGGGCACATGGCTGGTGCAGGGCTCCTGAGGTAAAGGCAGCAGAGCTGAGAGCCCTGAGCCCACAGTGGGCAGCCTGTATCTGTCCTGCGCACAAATCTGGTGGAGCACATGCCCCCCCATGCCTCTGCCAGAGGGTGCATGAAGTGGCAGGGAGTCACGCCCCCGGATGAGCTGCCTGCAGCTGTCGTGTTCCCCGCCCCAGGCCCCATTCACCGCCCTGGCTGAGCAACGCCTCCACCCCCAGCCCCTACCCCACTCCCTCCCTCACTATAGGGGCCTTGATCTGCACCACCCCCATGCCCTTTCCCCTCTACAGACTTATTTGCAGGGTGCTGCACTCCACACTGCCTGGCTGCATTCCTGGCCATACACATGCATGTGGCTGCACACATGCACGTGGTGTTCAGGAGCCCCCAGACAGAAGGTATATTATATTCAACAGTGAACATTGGCTACACTGGCCAAAAAAAGCCAAAAACTGATAATGTTAGTTTTCCTTTTATCAGTGCTGATCTGATATGCAACCGATAGATCGGTGCACCTATAGTAGTAGATTCAGTTATTTGGCTAGCGTCTGTCTGAAAATGCAGGGAACATACGTAGGTGAGAAATAAGCTGAGGAGAAAAATAAGGAGAAATAAGCTGAGGGGAAAAAACGCAGAAAGAAGCACAAGACGGGGAAGAGGAAAGGGAAAAAGATCCAGGTTAAGGGAGAAAACATTTACCAAACTGAAAAAAACAAAGAAAACTAGTAATAGGAGCATGTCAACATCTACCAGAAAATAAAAGAAAAATGGGTGAAGGCAAATATGAAAACAGGAGTTTGCATTTAATGTATTCAAATCAATATTTTGTTAATGTTACTATGATCGGTGTTCACAAGTTTCTTATACCTTTAGCTGCATGGACTCAGAGGGCTGTGGTACCAAGACTGAAGAAATACTTTTACTTGTTATCAAGTAGTCCAAAAGCTATTAGAAGTTGAGTAAGTGTTTAAGACTCAACTTACCTGACATTTTGAATGCCTTCTTCTTTAGCTGTTGTGCTCTTCGCACAGTGCTTATTCCCATCTTCTAACCGAAGGTGACTTACTTGGCCACATAAATTCTGAAGAAAAGGAAGAAGCAGCCCAGAACTAGGCATATTTAGGACTTCACTTGCTTGATCTGGCATTATTGAAGACCCCATGATTGTACAATCTCTCCCAGGAAGAAGAATGCTCTGCTGGGCCCTTTTAAGTTCTCCAAGATCAGAGGTATTCTTTCTGCTGGGTCCCTGTGCATTCAGGTCAACTTGTCTTTTTAAATCTTCAGAAACTGTTTCAGCTGTCAAATAACTGTTAAGAGGACAGGGTCCATTGGATGACTGGTCTAATGATCTTGAAGCAGATGTACTGTTCAATCCCCCTATTGTACCAATGTCTCCAAAAACAGGTTTCTTGTTTCCCAAGATACACTGGAGTTTGTCTCCAAGAGACAAACTGTTCTGATAGAAATAAGCACATATAAATATAAAACTAATTAAGTACATAGGGATAAGATATGTTCTCCCCCACAAAAGTTGTAAACATCTTATAATATGTCAAGTAACTATAACGTTCCCCACAGCTATCTATGTAAATATTTACTGAGAATGAATGAGATAAGAGTCTCATCAAAATGGAAATTGTGTACTTGAAGTTTCTTTAGGGGAAAAAAGAAAACCTAAACAAATTTACCAGATTTAAAGAAAACAAAAACGAGCTGTGAAAGTGAATGCATACACTTTGAGAAGATTAGATAACAATTTCCTTTCTAATGAGCCATTTTTGAAGCAGATTTTTACCATTTTAGGTCCCTACTCCGAGCATGTTCCTCTGTATGGGAGTATATCTATGACAGAAATTATACTAACAATACTCTTTTTTATTTGGAGGGAAACTAGATGCAAAGACTGTCTACAATGCTAACGGTTACGTGGAGGGAAAACAGATGAAGTGTAAAATTAATGGGAAAGAGTTTGGTGCTAGATCAGGGGCGGGAAATTTTGGGCAGAGGGCCGCTTAGTGAGTTTTGGCAAGCCTTCAAGGGCCGCATGACAGGCAGCCGGGGCAGATAAATATTACTTTTCTAAATTTTTTAGGGGTCCCACGGGCCAGATGGAATGGCCTGGCAGACCGCATCCGACCTGCGGGCTGCATTTTGCCCACCCCTGTGCTGGATTCTTAGAGTTGGATCTTTATCTTTTGGAAATCTTTTGTTCCCAGGTCAGATTTAGATTTAGCCATCATTAGGACATGTTGCAAGTCTCATAAATGTCCCCAGGCTTTTTCACTGGGCTCATAACAGATTTGGGTATAAAGTGGCAAGAAGTCTGTGTTGGAGCTTTACTCAATTAAATGAGTCTGGAATGCGATTAATATTGGCCCAGAATATGGAGTTCTGAGCTAATTCTCGTAAGTTTAAATAAAAATGATATGGTGACTTACCTTCTGCTGACATTTAACCATATCCATTAGCTGCTGAGCACCTGGAGATAACTTTGAGCCCATGGATTCCATTATCATTTGCACTCTGTTTAGATCTATGCTTGATCCTAGTGAAGGAAAATCTGCTGGTTTTGAAGAAGCTTTTCTCACCTTTACTACAATTTTACTGATGAGTACTGTCTGTTTTTCACCAATAGAAACCAGCTATTGCAAAAAAGAGAAAGCAATTTTTTAAAATTAGAAAAATTAGATTTTGAAATTGATTTCCTTTGGGAATGTGCATTCAGTGTAATACAATCTAGGAAGTTAAATCAGCTTCTCTTTTCCACCAGGGTGTTATTTTAAATGTGCTTCATCCTGCACTTATTCTTAGAAATAATAGTACTCCAACAGAATTTGAGCGCAGATGAACTGCAGAATCAGTTACAACCCAAGAGCATGATTAGACCTGTTGACTTTAATATGATTCCACATGTCAAGGTATGACGCATGCACCTGTAAGATCAGATTTATATATTCAGCTTGTACACTATTTTTTCTGGTTAGCAATTCTGTTTCTTTAACAGCATATTATTTTTTTCACACATACACATGACTTAAAGTATGAGATGTTGATCTGAATTGAGAATCCCAAAATTAGAAGCCATCTATATTTAAAGGTGCTTGCTCTACAGAATTATAAACAACCGTTCTCATTTTACATAGATGATAATGCAAAAAAGGAATATTACTCAAATAAAACATTAAAAAAAAGCAAGAATTAAGACAATTTTTGTGGAACTTCCTACCTTAATTCTACAAGCGGCTGTGGGACACTCCAATTTAAGATACTTTTTGTATAAAGTAATCCCATCACTTTTACTAGAAAAATAAAATAAATGAGCTGTGAAGTCTCTCTGTGGCAAAATACTACATAAAAGCTTTGTATAAGAGCACAGAAATGGCAGTTAATATATTTAATAACAAGGAGAGAGCCAAGTGTCATATCTTTTAATGTGCTTATCTTAACAGTGAAAATCAGCTTGGTTTGAGGAACACAGAATTATGGGGAGGGAGTGGGAGAAGATAGAGAGATTATTACAAACCACCAATGAAACAAACAGATTTGCTCTCTAGAAAAAACTTGATAGAACAGAAACGTGTTAATCTTATGTTTTCTTTGCAGACATATTTAATTGAATTTTATAAATGATGCTTAATGACTTTTGGGAGATACTACTGAATTAATATTTTAAGTCACTGCAAGCAGTAGCTAATGTCCTGGCACTCAGCCTTCCTTCTGTTTAGCATGCACCAGACAGTGGGTGTGCAAGCCACCATACTGCTTTGATAATGATTGTAGATGCCCTCAAGAGGGCCAGAGAAGTGCGGCATTTGGGATCATTCATTTCTTAGCCTCTGCTGAGGCTGCCAAGAAGGTGCAGATTATGCTAATGGGTTTTCAGAGGCAGGTATCAACCTATCAGACTTGGATAAACGTGGTCACCAGACATGGGCTGCTGACAGACATGGGGGTGCAGAAAAAAATAATGCTTAATTTTCAGCTCAGCATGCCTCTACACTGACCACAGCACATGCCCAGGAGCATCGTGTCAGTTTGACCCGGCTGGCCTAGCATCTATATAGATCATGTGCTTTAGAGGGGCTTTTTGGCCCTTTTATCTAATAGCCGATTCAACCAGCTATTAGATAAAAACGCAAAAAAAGCTCCACTGAAGCGCGCGATCTATACAGACGTTGGTGAGCCAAGTCAAACTGATGTGGTTCCTGTTCCAGTGAAGTGCTGGGGATTTTTTCCTGCCGTGTCTGTCAGCAGTGAAAGCCTACATTTCTACCAGCGATTTAAGAGCATGCTATCTGATTCCCAACCCCCTAAGCTGTCCAGTTTTCATACTGTAGGGAGTTAATAACGAAGACAGTGAAAACAGAGCCCGTGACACAAAGCCACTGACCTGCCGCCCTGGACGGTGCAGACGTGCTCTCCCCTGCTCGTCCCGCAGTACTCTTCTCCCACGTACACTTCCATGTTTCTTGCCTCACTGAGAACCCCAACGCAAGCGATTTCCTCGCGGCCCTGAGGATCGCAGTGCAGGTACAGCACACAAGGAGCGTCACTTCCGTCAGTGGGTAAGCGCCTCTCCAAAACAACTGAGTCCTCGCTAGACGGGGCGAAAGGAAGTTTAAAAAAAAACAAAACAAAAAAAGCAGGTAAGCGCCTGTCAGTTGGGCCGAGCGCTACTCCAGATAATCTTGTTTACGTGCTGAAAGCAAGACAGCGCTTCATCTGAAACCCTTTGTCGCTCAGAGGGGACGTGATCGACGATTGGGGCGGCTCCGAGGTCCTCTGCCGGCGTCTCTGGAGCCGGAAAGGGCGGCCACTCTCCTCTCATCCTCGATGCCAACGCTACGCTGCTACAGTGGGGTTTCTTCCCCCTTCTCCTCTCCAGCGCCGTCAGGAAGCCAAGCTTCCGCCAGGATCTGGTCTTCGATTAAACCCGCTGCCTCCCACGGGGAGGTTGGGTTCCCAACTCTGATCGAAGCTATTACGGGACATATTTTTCCCCGAGGAGACGTCAGGTCGTGAATTGTACTGTTCAACCCCTCCCCGACATCCATCTCCCGGACTGCTCTCCATAGTCACCGGGAGGTCAACCTCGATTTCACCACTCGGGGAGGGTCAGCAGTCCTAGTGGGGAGCAGGCCTAATTTGGCATGTGCCCGAAGCGCAGGGCTGGGGTTGGCCAGCCCCCGCATTTCTTGGGGATCTGTCAGACATGTGCCCACCTTGACCAGATATGGGGCAGAAGAAGGGTCCACCCCAGCCTGGCCCTGTGCTGGGGGCAGGGGTGGCCACAGGGACAGGGGGAGACAGCTCCCCTCCCCCCCCCAGCGCCCCCTGGCGGGCGCAGTCCCACACCCCACTGCGCATGCGCGCACCGCCCGGCGGCCCCGGCCCTCACCTGGGCTCGGGCGGCCCCAGTGCCTCGACCGCCGCCGCCGCGTCTTCCGACAGGAGGGGGGATGCGGGAGCGCTGCTGCTGCAGGCCGCGTCGCCGCTCAACGCCGCCGCCATCGCAACCGTCTCGCCAACCGCCGCCGCGAGCCGCGCCGGGCGGAACTGATTTCTTGCGGCACGCGTTGCTTGCCGGACGCTCCTCGGGGACAGACACTTCCGGCACGGGCACTTCTAGGGGACGGGTCCAACAGGCTCCCGCGCGGTCGGCACAAGGGCGCATGCGCGGAATCAGCTCTCTCCGGGGGGGCGGTGCGCATGCGTGGAATCGGTGCGCTCTTCTCCCCATATGGGAGTGGTGCGCATGCGCATGGTCTGGAGGAGGGGGCATGGAGGTGGGTGTGCTGCGGGTGCGTACTGTAGTCTGCTGCGTGTGAATCCGTCCAGCCTTTCCTCTGTGGCTGCAGGTGCATGGGGCACAGCCCAGCACTATAGGGCAGCAGCTCCCAAACTCTGAGAGGTTGCACACCACCAGTTTAAAACGATGCACACTGAAGTACCTCCAGCAAATTTCTATCAAATAAAATAGTTATAACAAGTGTATTAATGCGTACCACTGACGGGTAGTCTGCCTGCCACGAGTGGTACGCAGCTCGGGAGCCACTGCTACAGAGCACTTCTAGTGAGAACCTGGATAAAGGAACAGGATTCGTGTTGTATCATTTGCAAAAGTAATACGTTTAAAAGTTGGAAGGGATCGCAACCATTTTAGAAGAATTCAAAATGATTTCCAAACTTCTAATGATCTCCAATTTTTACAAATAAGGAGAAACTACCTAAAATACCTAGGGGAGAAGAGTCCAACTGGATGCAGCTGCAAGTGCGTGACATCGCTGTGCTCATGGTGCGGGTGGGTGACGCTTTCCACGATGATGTTTTTGTGTCACGAAGCAGTTTAACGAAGACGAGAGGTTTTGTCCTCGGACAGTGAGAGGCATGAAGGGTGCCGCGTCTGAGGGCATTTTGACGTTGCTGTTGGAAGGGGCGAGATGCTACCGTTTTCTCCCCTGAGGATCCGTTGCCCTGCGTGCTTTGATTGTGCTGCTATTGGGGTCACTGTTGAAACATCTCTCGGTTTCAGTACTGCCACGTCCTGCGGTATCTGGTCCCAGAAGGAGCCTTGTGGATGACTAGGCTAGTCTACTACTCAATACAACTGTCAGTGTTACACGTGGTCCATGACATTGCGGTCAGTGCAGGCATTCACAAGATGTAAAGTTAAAGACATGCACTGAACCTTTGGACTATCAGGTCCCAACTGCCTGTCCCGGCCTCCACCCCACATCAGACAAGTCTTACAGGAATTACCACACTTCAGGGAGAGTCAGTGCTGTCTCTATCCTGATTTTTAGGGATTTTAATTTCATAGCAAAATATAAAGATGACTTAAGCTCGCCTCTCAAAGTCTAGCAAGCTAAAGTCTAAGTCTAGACAGCTATCTGGAGTCTCTGAACTAGAGTTGGGCAACTAAAAAAAAAAAATGCGAATCTACCTGACACTGTAGCTGACAACATATTTGCATAGCTGTAAAGGCAAAATTGTATGTGTGCGCCCTAACAAGTGTACACATGTGTTTTGCGGCACTCCAAAGCAGTTTGAGGCACTGCAAATCACGCGCGATGCACGTGTGATGACTTGCAGCATGGAGGCTTTTTTTGACACCGGACTCTCCTAGTGTCAGAATCAAACCACCACTGAAAAAAGTGGTGGACCCACACAGCAGCATTGTGCACTGTCAGAAGGGGAGCCTGGCAGGCCAGAGCCATGCTCTGGCAGCTGACTAGGGTCCAAGCAGCTGGCTCAGAGCCACTGCTGCCCCAGGAGGTCCCCGGGGACCTAGGTAAGATGTTGGCCCCGACCTTCCCTGCCCCACCTGGGTCCCTTTGCAACATGCTGGACCTCACATGCAGGGGCATGCCCAGGGGCAAATAGCAGCAACACAAATATATGCTCCTGCTATTTGTCCCGCAGGAACTGCGTACCCCTACATGTATGCGGTTGTGGGGATGTGCCCTTTGTGTGCCTTTGAAAGTGTTAAGTCAAAGATGTAGAATAGCCCCTTTTTAAAATCGCTGTTTACACAGGGTTTATCAGCAGTCAGGGCAAAATGAATCTTAGGATAACTGGTAAAACCTCAAACCAAAAGTATCTCGTTTTCATTAGGAAATGTGGCAAGAAGATCCTACTGTTAACTAACATTGTTTTCAAATTCTTTGTCCAACCTTAAAACTTTTCCTTGAAACTTTTAATTAAGATGTGGCATATCAAAGAGATTATTTGCTCTTGGGAAAATAAAAAATGCCTCAAAATCACATTTTGATTAAGGCTTTTTTTCCTTTGGAGGGACAAAGAGGTGCACCATAAATATATATTTTTTTAAGATCTCTGGATTACATGGTTAATGTTTAAATGGTTTCGGTGTGTTTATATTTTCAAACAGTTTTACTGAAATAAAACTTGCATGCAGCTTTTAATTCAAAAGAAAAAAAGGCTAGAAACTGAATTTACTGGTAGATTTTAAAGCTGCATTTTGATCTGGCTATGAACAATATCAATACATCTATCATATCAAGATAGCAATGTACTTTTCATGTGTCGTACTTAGACATTGTTTCTAATCTTCAGCCTCAAAGAAAGTGTTTAAAATGAACTGGTTCAATCTTGTCATCTTTACAATACTGTTGGTAGCTGGCTTCCTCCAATCAGCATTTAGAAATGCGTTGCTTTTTGTTTGTTTAAGTCGCCTAACCAGTTTTTTGCAAGGTTAACCGAGAAATTTGACTTGCTCTTTCCTTTGCACTGTTGAAATATGTGAAGCACTTTCCCAGTGCCTATTGTTTGCCTTAACCACAGACAGCTTTAGATAGTTTGCTTCTTAGTTCTTTTAGGGGAAACTGCTGCTAAGGGCAGTGCAACCAGGTATCTAGTATTTCCTTAAACTTCTTAGTAAAAGAAATAGCTTCTTGAAGATATTTAACAATGTTAAAATGCTGCCTTCTTTTGTTCATTTTTGGACTAACGCTTCTTGGAAAGTGTGTGCTTACAGCAGGTGAGTTCCTAGCTTTGTTTTTTCATTCAGAAAGTTGGTCCAAATTATGTTGTTATGGGTGAGTCCCGGTCCAGTGCTCTTCACTGCAGAAAAAGTTGTGCAGTAGAAACATATCTAAAAAGGGACTGTGGGATAATGCCCATAGTTTTTATTTTTTTCTGTGAGACAGGTGTGTACGTACAGTATATTCTTTTGCTGTTTTGTTGGTCAGTGTACATAATTAGCAGGCTGACTTGTTTTGCCACTTGGAAGGAAAGGAATTTAGAGTACGCTGATCCCCGGCAGTGTTATAATGTGAATTTATGATTGGATTCCTTAATTTCACTTTGAATCACAGAAGTACTTAAATGATGGTGTTTAAATCGTTGTCCTACGTAGTATACAAAGCAGTGTTTGTGGGAGGTGCAATCACTGTAAACCTCACGGTATGGTGAAAAGTAAAACGTCCTTCTGCAATACGAGGGAAATACGTCTTGAAAATAATTGTGCATTTTCCATTTATTTATTTTCATTTAGGATTCATAGTAGCATATATACATATGGAGTATTTGTTAGAGGGCTACGTGTTTGTGACTAGATTACAAGAATATTGTTTGTACTCCCTTCCCCCTCTATTACCGAGGTATAAGTTAGAGTAGTATGTTTTAAAAATGACTTCAGTGTGTATCCATGATCATACTGCAGGGGGTAAACAAAGGGTGTTCCCCTCCAATATCTTGCTGAAAGTAAACTATAAGAAAACTCAATTTTATTTGACTTTTTAGGATTACTGATGGTAAAAGCAGGAATTTGCCTAGTAGTTGAAAAGAAATGCAAATGTTATTATATTCTGTTTAGAGAAAGGTGTTCTTAATGTCAGAGTGTGATCCTACAATCCCGAGTTCTCACACCTGCTCTGTTGCTATCTCATTTCTTCTATGGCTTCAAATAAGTTACTTAACCTATCTGTGCCTCACATCCCACATCTGTTATATGTGGACAAAAATACAAATGAATCTTATGTGAGATAAGTGGTTTCCAAATTTTAGTTCATCTTCAAATGTCTTTATAAGCAGTAAGAGCCCTGTATACAAGGAAGGCTAATTACTGGTATTTTGGAAACTGATTTTACGCCTTAGATATAAACAACTAATACATTAAAAAAGCCTATCAGCAGTATATACCTCAAGCATGTTTCTTCATACCAGCTGCTTTATTTTTACTGGCGAGTCAATCTTATTTTTGTATGTGCACATTTTGGGCTCACCATTTTAAAGGCACTAGAGAATATAGTAGGGGGGGAACCCCTCCGCAGAAAATATGTTAAACGACTTCTTCCTTTGAATGAAGTCCCCCTATAAAGGGACTTTATGGGAAGAACCTTTCCACCCCTCTGTAAAATTTTTAATGACTGGTGTGGTTTTGCCCCTTACCTGATGGGAAATCCTTTTTTTTTTCTTTTTTTTTGCTTTATTCTTTATGCAATTTTGGAAAGGATTGCTTTATTAAAATTCATTTTATCGTTTACTCTTTTTGACTCCGTTGATTTCAATGGTAGTCTTTCTGTTGACATCAGTGGGCATTAGATTAGAGTTGCTGAGCAGACAAGAGGCAAAGGAAATTAAGTAAAATGTTACCATTTGTTCCTGTTTGTCATTGTCAAAATGACACCAGATTTCTAATGCCTGACTTCTGGAGTCATTGTCAGGTGTCACTGAGGTAATTGAGAAATAATGCACAGGGTGTGTTAGGGTACAATACAAAGGTCATTGGCAGGAAATAAAATGAGCCATTAAGGCTTGTAATACTAAGTGAGTGGGACGCAGGGAGGCTATGCAATGGGCTGAGATAGCATAAGTGCCAGGAACAGTTATGCAGGCTCCTGAAGACAAGGATGAGAAGCCTAAATTTGATCCAATGCAGAAAGGGACAACTGTAAGGAAGATTTAGATGGGAAAAAGAAATGACCTGTTCTTATTGAGTTCACAGAAAGATACTTTTATTTATAATCACATTTGATTGATGTCTTCTTTATGCGTAAGCCCACTATAAAGACATTTAGATTAAACAGGTCTTTTCACGTCTATTTCCATAATGTCACTATATACTTATTCTAGCATACAGGCTTTTCTAGACATACAGCACCCTAAAATCTGAAATTAATAAGGGCTTGGAAAAAAACATTTCCACACCCAGAACACTAACATTTCTAGTCATTCTTTTGTTCAATTTTCTTCCTATTGCTTTCAAAATGGTTTGAGATCTCTTGAATTTTATATTCTAAATATTCTGTATTTATTAAGATAAATCTCCAAACCTGCCAGGATTTATTTGCATGTTTTAATTAATTCATGTATGTAATTATCACTTTGAATTCAAAGAGATTCAATTGCATAAGTAATAAGGAATATACCTAAGTTTTTGACAGATAAATGGCTAAATTGATAGTTATCATGTAATGTTTTCTAAAAGATGCCCATATACGCATGCACACACAAATATAAATGTATGTATATGCACACATTTATAAAATAGTGCCCTTTTAAATAACTATACAGTGTGTGTGTATGTGTGTGTATGTATATATATATGAATGTATAGATGCATGTTTACATATGTGTGTAATATATCCAAATATATCTGTGTACATGATTTGCAGTAGTAATATTTTACATCTCTACCACAACTTATATAAATTGTATACAGCTGTTTCCAGAGTGAAGGGTGGCAGCCAGGCAAAGACCTAGTAGTCCTTTTACTTGAGAAGCATTATGGGAGATTTGTTTCCTGTAGATTTAATTATTATTAATTAATTTATTTGAGTTAATAACATAGATGAATTTCAGTATCCTAGCAATTTTCTGCTACAGTTGGAAAAATGAAATAATTTTTTGTTATTTGCAATACAGATTGTTTTTTATTATTTTATTTGTATTACAGTAGTGCCTAGGAGCCCTAATCATGGGAAGGACCCAATGATGCTCTACAATGGAATAAGTAATTTGATGAAATGGGCAATTTGTGAAGAAAAATTATCAATAATATTGGTAATGGCATCCGTTCATCAGCAAGTGATGGTGGATATTGCAGCTATTCTAGTGACTGATGGTGCATTTTGTCTTGTGGCTGTAGAGACCGATATTAGACTTGCAAGACTTGCAGGCCCTGCCACAGTTGTTAGAGGTGTACCTTGCATTTAGGGCTACTGTACTGACAGGCTGTTTCCTTTGGTCACATTTGTAACTTGAGTAACCATTTGTTGTCATGATATTGGACTCCATTATTAAGAAGGGAGAGCCACTTTGTCCTGTCTCCTGCTAAGGCTTCCCGAAGGTTTGGGTCAATTCCAAAAGCCTTCATGTCCTGCTTGCAGACGTCTATGGGGCACAATTTTGGGCAAGTTACTCTTCTCTCCCCATCTGCAATTTGCCCATACAGGATGTCCTTCGGGATGCACCCATCTTTCATTCTGTGGTGATGGCCAAGCCAGCATAGGTGCCGCTGTTTGAGTAGTGCAGTGATGGTTGGCAGGTTGACTTTGGTGTCTGTGTTGGTAATTCTGTCCTGCCGCTTGATGTCAGGGATTTGCCATAAGCAGCATAGGTGGAAACTGTTCAGCTTCTTTTCTTGATGTGCATATGTTGAGCATGGCCCACTGCTATACGTAAAGACACTGAGGATGCAGGCTTTGTACACAAGCAGCTTAGTTTTGATTGTGAGTTTTCTATTGTTCCAGACTCATTTGGAGAGCTTACTGAAAGTGGTAATAGCCTTTCCAATGTGCACATCTAACTCTTCATCCAGTGATAAGTTGTCACTCGCTGTGGATCCAAGGTAGCAGAATTTGTTCATTGCTTTGTAAGGTGTGTTGTCCGGGCTGATAGATGGTGACTGGTGAACACCCTGTCCTAGGCCTACAGTCTTCTTAATGCTGATGGTCAGGGGAAATTCTTCATGGACAGTGAGTGCAGCATCATCAGCAAAAAGGCACATATCCTAATGAGTATGTACCTCACTTTTGTCTTGGCCTTTAGACGTGATAGATTGTAGAGTTTGCTATCTGATCTTGCGTGAAGTTATATGCCTTGTTCCACACCATCAAAAGCGTAGTGGAGCAACATAGAGAAGATCCCAAAGAGTGTGGGCACCAGAACACAGCCCTGCTTCACTCCACTCTACATCTCAAACCTTGCAGAGCTTAATCCACCCAACAACTGTGGCTGGCATGTTTTCAAGGAAGGAGCATATTGTACTGGGTAATGTTGCGGGGTACACAGTCTTTACCAGGACCTTGAACAAACCTGCTCTGCTGACAGCATTGAAGGCTTTTGTCAGGTTGACAAATGCTATATACAGTGGCTTATTTTGTTCTTTGCATTTTTCTTATGGTCGGTGTAAGGAGAATATCATGTCCACTGTTGATCTCCCTGCTCTAAATCCACTGTGATTCCAGGTAGATGTGGTTAGCAAGTTATTGCAAGCATTTCAGGATGACTCTGGCAAAGGTCTTTCCTGTGACACTGAGGAAAGAGATGCCCCTATAGTTGTTGTGTCACAACCCAGTGATTTTTGTGCCTCGGCACTATGGAATTTCCTGGCCACGTGAGAGCTCCTTTGCACGGCAGAGTGTTCTGCTGCAATTGAGAACCCGTGTATAGGAGAGAGTTCCCGCCAATTTGCAGTTTCCTTTGCAGGATGCATTTCTTCTTTGCAGCACAGAAATGCACGGTGCAAAGAGTTCCCGC